TTGAGCCCATTTCCCTCCATCCTCTCCCTGGCAGCACAGCCCAACCCCGCGGCTGTCCCCTCCTGTCAGGAGCTGTGCAGAGCCACAAGGTCCCCCCTGAGCCTCCTTTTCTCCAGGCTGAGCTGTGGGGACATCAGAGCCCAGGCAGACCTGTGTCCTCTCACTTCAAATTACTCAAAAGCCCAAGGACTCAACTGGTACCCTGCTGGAAACCAGAACATCTCCCACTCCCTGCTTTCTCCATTTACAATTGTCTATTTTCTTAGGCTAAACCAATTACTTACTCTCAGTCATACACAGCTCCCATTTCAGCTCAAAAACAGGCTCCTTTCCCATGGAAAAAAAAAATAAAAATCAACTCTCCTCATTTCATAATTAATTTTTCTGCATGACTTTTCCCAGCAACACAACTCATTTTTTCCCAAGTTCCCTATGAACTGATGAAAATGAAAATCCCCTCAGCCTCCCTGCACGTTCTCATGTACATCACTTCTTTGTAGCTTAATTTCCCATTTTTAAAAGGAAGACATTTGCTTTCCTCCAACTTTTTTTTGGGGGGGAGGGTGGAGAAGGCAGGTGGGGAAGTGAGCAACGAGTATTATTTCATCATTAATACAAAGACAATCTTGTGCACTGTGACACCAAGGTGCTAACAGAGAACAATAAATTCATATTAATAATTAACAGCCACATCATATCAAGCCTTCTGGGTGCTCTCATTTAAACTGCTTCAGAAATCTTCCTACTTTTTATTACAAACACATGCAATAGGTCGATCAGTCCTTAAAACCACACATGCTGATGGAGACAGCACTGCTGGGAGTCTGCAGGTAAAACTTTTGGCTGAAAAAACACAGTTTGGCATCAAAAGTGGCGTATAGATGCCAGCATCAATGGAAATAAAAATGCAAGGCTCCTATTTGGGTTGCAAAGACTGAAATACTTTATTAAAAAGGGAACAAAATACAAGTTACTTACTGCTTTTGAGACCCTCCTGACCTGCATGAGACCTGTGAATGAGGATCAGGCCTGGAAGGAAGCAGACAAATTTCCCATGTTAAATTTCAGCGTGAAGAACCACTTTGATATTAACATTGAAAATTACAAGCTGATTTTACAGCATTTTTCAACCTCAGCACGAAGAAAATGCAACAAGTTCTTCTAAAAAACCCCCACTGATCCAATACACTTAAAAAAATTGACGTGGTGGGCATAGTCATCATATGGCTTGAAAAATAATATCCTTAGATGCTTTTATTATGGTCTTCAAGATTCATGTTTTCAAGCTTTTCCTCCAGAACCAGTGGGGGCTAGAAACTTTATTTCAAAACCTTGATAGCCAAAAGTCTCACCTAATTATGTGAACTGGGCCTTCAATGGGGAGGAAAAAAAAGAGGGGGGGGGGGGCAAAACAAAGAAAAGGAATGCAGGCATACAGAAATTTGTGGCAAAAAATATGATCGCTGGCAAAACACCCCTTGCCCCAAACTTCTTGCTTTTTTCCTTCTCACTGGCTCTGTGGATGAGTGTAGTTTCCCCCCAAATCTGTGCTGTAATCTTGTCCTCTAAACTAGTTTTTTAAGTTTTGAGGGAATGGAAGCGGACTAGAAAGTGGCCTCAATAGGTGCCTGGGGAAAGAAATAAAAAGAAGAAAGAGGAAAAATGCGAATGCAACAGGGACAAACCCTTGGTGGGGGAAGGAAATAACAGGGAGGGGGGAAAGTTAAAAAAAATAGAGAAAGAAAAGATAAAAATATAGAAAAGGGGAAGAAAGTGTGGGGGGGGGAGTACAGGAACGGGGTAGGAACATATAGGAAAGGGGGAAAAGGAGGAAAATGGAAATATAGGAAAGGGGGGGAAAGGAAAAATACATGAAGGGGGAAGGAAAATAAAGGAAAGGGTGAAGAGGGGGCAAGGAAGATATAAGAAAGGGAGAAAAAAGGAAAATAAAGTGAGGCAAAGAAAGGGGAGTGAAAGAAACTAATTCGGGGAATGAAAGTAATGGGGGGCTGGGAATGAAACTCTCAGGGCAAAAAAACCCTAAAGGGGTGAGCGGCGTGATACTGATGGCAACGAGGGATGGTTTTAAAGTAAAAAAGGAGAGATTTAGATCAGATACACGGAAGAAATTCTTGACTTTAAGGGTGGGCAGGCCCTGGCACAGGGTGCCCAGAGCAGCTGTGGCTGCCCTGTATCCCTGGAAGTGTCCCAGGCCAGGCTGGACACTGGGGCTTGGAGCAGCCTGGGACAGTGGAAGGTGTCCCTGCCCATGGCAGGGGGTGACACTCGATAGGCTTTGAGGTCCTTTCCGACCCAAACCACCCCGTGGTTCTGCAGGCGATAAAAGGGTGGAGAAAAGAAGGCGGAAAGCCGGGAGCTCCCTTTGCTGGGAGGAGAAGCCGCGGGCAGCGCTCGGCCCCCCCGGGCCGTGTCCAGGGTAACGCCGCGGCCGCGGGCGCTCGGGCCGGGCCCGGGCCGGTGTCGGTGCCGGCCCAGCGGGACTCAGGCTCGGTGCTGCGGGGCTCCGGGGACGTGTCGGTGTCGGTCCAGCTCTGTTCCCCTCGCCCCGGCTCCTCTCAGCATGTCCCAGGCGTGAGTAGCCCGGGCGCGGGGCTGAGGGGGAGAATCCCCTCAGAGGGGCGAGACACGGCCCGGGGGGAGGCGGGCGGGTGTACCCCACAAAGCCACCGCGTCCTCACAGGAAAACCACGCAAATATTAGTATTATTCACTCAGACTCTTTGTGCAAAAGGTTCTTCTCTCTTTACAGTTCGTGAAAATCCCCTCAGAGGGGTGAGACACAGTCTGGGGGGAGGCGGGCACACCCCACAAAGCGACCGCGTCGCCTCAGAAAAACCAAGCAAATGTTGATGTTATTCACTCAGACCCTCTGCACAAAAAGTTCCTCTCTCTTACAGCCCACATCGTGTCTTGTTTCCCCTCAGTCATTTTAGCACAGGGCAAAGCTTTACAAGTTTGTTTGCAAAAACCAGACAATGACAGCGTTGGTTCAAAGTGCCTGCGAGGAGCTGTGCTCATTCCCCCGGAAACATCACTCCAAGCCCAGCAAATATTATTACTACTATTATTATTGCTGTGCTATAGTGCTAGGAGCTAATTTGTGAGCATCTTCCATAATATCATCCCTCAGTGTTGTGCTGTTTGCTGCTTCCAGCTCCAGCAGCACAACCCAGTTTGTGGAGGCTCTTTTTCCCAGTTCCAAGCTGGGTATGGCTTATTCAAGTTCACTGAATAATGGAAAATTAGAAAAAAAAAAAAAATAGAAAACACCTTGGGGTGGTTTTGCTGCCTCCTTCTACTCCTCTCCTTCATGCTCAAACCCGACCATATCCAAACTGCTGTTGCAGCAGGTTGTGAGCAAAGCCTTTCCTGGAATCTGTACTGGAAATCATCTTATCTTTCCCATGGTCTCCCTCCTCTGGCATCAGTGGTTCCAACCTCAAAGCCTACTGCCTCTTTTGCCCAGTATCCCATTTCCAAACTCACAGCTTTTTGCCAGGTAAAGCTTCCTCAGATTCTAAACCATCCTTCCAAATTCAGAACCAGAGCAGCTCTCCTTGTCACCAACACCTTGGGTTTCATAGAGCTGTTAAGGTTGGACAAGACTTCCAAAATCACTAAGTCCAACCTTCAACTAAAATATCATTAAATGCCACATCTACTTCCAGGGATGGTGACTCCACTGTTCCCCTGGGCAGCCTGTTCCAATGCTTAACTACTCTTTTCAGTGAAAAATGTTTTCCTAATAACCAGTCTAAACCTTCTTGGCTTAACTTCAGGCCATTTCCTCTTATCCTGGAGCTTGTTGCCTGGGAAAAGAGGCTGAGCCCCAGCTGACCACAACCTCCTTTCAGGCAGCTGCAGAGAGCAATAAGGTTTCCCCTGAGATTGTTTCCTCCAGCCTTCTTTTCTCCACTCCTGCCTCCACACATTGGCAGCCCCAGACAGATACCAGTGGAAACTCCACTGCTTTCCAGCCAGGCAGCTCCTTTGTTCAGGAGAGGAAGGTGAGAGGGATGAAGAACAACATCCCCAAGGGCAGGGCAGAGAGTATCTGGGGGCTGTGTCCAAGGACAGACCCAGCTCAGCCTCCAGTTGGAGGAAAGCTTGGTTAGATCCCTGGTGGATCCAATGCAGGGCTTGTATAAATCATGCCTGACACTCTCATGGAATCAGTTAAGTGAAGTTCACAAGGTAGTGGAGAGTTAGCTGAATTGTGCTCTTTAAAAGAAAAAAGGGGGGGGTGGGGGGAAAGAGAGAGAGATAAAGGAAGAAGAAAAAAACCCACAAAAGCAGTGTTTGACCTCTTCTTCAGAGTTATCTCAGAATCTGTCATTCAGTCTCTGAATCATGGCTGCTGTTATTTGAGCCCGATTAACAGCAAAGGAGTTAAACTGAGCATAGCTGGAAAAATACTTGGGCTTCAACTGGTTTGGCTCAGTTTATTTTTAACAGAGACAGGGGTTTTAGCATTTCCTATGGCATTGCCAGCACTGAACAGCAAATCCATATAAACACGATCATATGCCCACACCACAGGACAAAAACACATATCCATTCCTGTTTCTGAGCCAGGTGCTGCCCAGGGACTCCAGTGTGGTGTTGAAGCTCCTTGGCTCAGGTTGTTATGATGACATTGTAGCTGTGCACAGTGCAGGATTTACAGCTGGGCTGATCCAGCCCTTCCTAAATATGAACCAGAGCTGGAGCTCAAAGGCTACTGTTACCATGCTTGGTTGTAGCGAGGTTATGCTGGCTGTGTACCATAAATCAGAGTTGTTTATGTTGGAAAAGCCCTCTGAGATCATCAGGTCCTAGCCTTAACCCAGCACTGCCAAGGCCACCACTAACCCAAGTCCCCAAATGTCACATCCAAATGGCTTTTAAATTCATCCAGGGATGGGGACTCCACAATCTTCTTCTTTCCATGAAGAAATTTTTGCTGATATCCACTCTGTCCTGTATCCTACCAGTAGCTAAATGGGGTTGATAAGAAGGCTGGAGAGGGATGTTTCACACAGGTAATGAAGTAATAGGACAAGGTGGAATGGCCTTAAGCAGGAGGGCAGGTAAAGATGGGATACTGAGCAGAAATTCTTCCCTGTGAGGGTGCTCAGGCCCTGGCACACGGTGCCCAGAGGAGCTGTGGCTGCCCCTGGATCTGTCCAAGGCCAGGTTGAACAGGGCTTGGAGCAACCAGGGATAGTGGAAGGTGTCCCTGCCCATAGCAGAGGGTGGAATTGGAAGCAGGGGGTGGGAAGTGATGATCTTGAAGCTCCTTTCCAACCCAAGCTATTCTGGGATTCTATTATTCTATAAACCTTTCCTGGTGGAAATTGAGGCCATGTCCAAGGTATTGTAAATGCCATGTGGCAAAAATTACTTACAACAACCTGCCTTACCTGAAGACAGTGAGACAAAGAGACAAAGAGACAATAATGAAAGGGGGTTATGAGAAAGATCTTTGCTTCTTCAGAAACAGAAATGCTACACAGCTTTCCTTGTTCTGAGGTTCTGAGGCATGTTCACCATGCTCCAGGTCCTGTGATTCTCGGAGGTGTGGGCTAAACCAGCACATTTAATTCCACTGCCTCAAGAAGCTCTGTGTCAGGGCAGGGAGGATGCTCAGAGAGCAGCAGTGCTCTCTTAGGGTCACTAAGTCCAGCAGCCAGCCGAGGGAGAAGTCAGCATGTCCAGACATGCCTGGGATTTTCTAGGGACAGTCTCAGCCCTCTGGAGGGAACAGAGCCATTAAGTGTAGGGTGATTAAAAAGTGCTGGGGTATCTCACTTCCCAAAGCACTCAGCCCCAGCATTTGCATGCAGATGTACCTTCTGTTCCAGACACTGGAGATTCACAGAGATTCTGCTGCATTTATGTTTTCCTGCTGTTTCCTCCTCTTTTATGGATTTGTTTACCCTCTCCTTGACCCCTGGGATCCTGACCAGTGATTTCTTACCTTGCCCCTGACAGCTCTAGTCCAGACACGTTCAAAGCCAAGTCTTGGCACTGCTGCCACTCCTGCCAGGTTTTAATCAGCTACAAGACATTTGCCACTGCCACCAAGGAGCTTTAAACAATCAAAGCGCTTTAAAATTTAATCTCGTGTCACAAATAGAATTTATATTAATTCACTAGTTAAATATTGATCTAAGACAAGGTCCTGAGCATCTCCCTTCCCACTTCCAACAGAAACAACCAAAGCAGAGCTCTCTGTTTTACATCACATCCCCAAGGCTCAGCTGAAGAAAATTAAGGTTGCAACACCCAATGTGAAAAAATGTCAGTGCAACTTCTAATCCCCTCTCCTCCCCCTCCTCACGTTCTGTGGCTGCATTACGATGCAGTTTCTGATGCTGTGATCACATCCTATTCCCTTCCCACGGGGCCCCAGCCTCATTCAGCCATTGGCCCGTTGCTGAATATTTCTTTTTATCCCCTCATTCAGCGTCTGGCCCCAGGCCATATTCTTCAAATTCCAACCAAACGCCACAATTATTAGCTTCCTCCTGGGCATTCCTTGCATGTTCTCTCTCATACATCTCCCAAGCAGTCACAGATTCATCTTTGCCCCTCTTTCCACCCCTGGTGAGCATTAGCACATCATCTTGCTTATGTTAAAGCAGGAAATCAGAGACAGGATCAAATTGATCACAGCTAAGACTCAAAGCTACAACTCCCTCCTGTGCCTCCCTTCATTCTTAATGAGCAGGTAGGGAAAGATCTTGTGTATTACTCGTTCAGTGTCTCCTCTGGGAAAAAGCATTGTCAGTGGAAATATCCCAGCAGCACTTGTGCTGGAGAACAGGGAAAGAAAAGGCCCTAGTTTTCCAAGAAACTGAGTAGATGGTGTCAGCTTTGAGCCTAAAGCCTCCTGCTCCTGGCAGGGGTAGAACAGCACCCAGACACAGCCCTTTATGCAGGGAACTGTAGGCAGCTGGATGGGTAACTGCCCCTTCCTGTCCTAAGGACAACGGGGGTAAAAAGAAAAAGATTACATAGGAGGGTTAAAGGTGAAATAAACTTTGTTGTCAGAAGCAGTAAAGTGTTTTATAAGCAAATACTGCTTGGAAGGAAAAATTCTGCTTGCAAAGGAGAGGAGGCTGCTGTTCATGTAACACAGAATGGTTTGGGATGGGAAGGGACCTTAAAGCTCATCTCCTTCCATGGGCAGGGACACCTTCCACTAGCCAAGGCTGATCCAAGCCCTGTCCAACCGGCCTTGGACTCTTCCAGGGATCCAGGGACAGCCACAGCTTCTCTGGGCACCCTGTGCCAGGGCCTCAGCACCCTCTTAGGGACAAATTTCTTCCCAATATCCCATCTTTACCTGCTCTCTGGCAGTGGGAAGACATCCCCTCTTGCCCTGGCACTCCAGGCCCTTATCAGTAGTCTCTGTCCATCTTCTTTGCAGGTTCCCTTCAGGTACTGGCAGGCCACAGTTAGGTCACCCCAAAGCTTCTCTTCTCCCAGCCTTTCCCCATGGAGCTGCCCCATCCCTCTGCTCACCCTGATGCCTCCTCTGGACTCTCTCCAGCAGCTCCAGGTCCTTCCTCTGCTGGGCCCCAGAGCTGGGGCAGCTCAGCAGGTGGGTCTCACCTGAGCAGGGCAGAGGGGCAGAATTCCCCCTTTCCTGCTGCCCACACTGTGGGATCAGCCCAGGGCATGGCCCAGGCAGGAGCTGCAGCCTGAGGGACAGGAGGGCAGCCTCTGGAGCATTTGACAGCCCAAAATAGGTTTTCCCACACCTTAATTGCTTTGCCATTTAGGAAAACAGGTTTTTGAAAAAACCTATGAAAGAAAACTGTTCTTTTTCCTGCCAGCCTTGTGAGTTTGGCTGGAGCAGGTGCTTGAGACCTGCTGAGGTGTGTTGCTGCTGCTGCTGCATGAAGCTGCTTCCTCGCCTTCCCTGCGGTTTCCCATTACATTTCTGCCACACAAATCTTTTATCCCCCCTTCACTTTCTGTCATAGTACCCAGGACTGAAATTGGAGATGACAGAAGCACAGAGCTGTTCACGTTAACAATGCCAGCAGGCTGTGTGTTTTCTTCTCTTGTCACAACCGAAGCCTACTGAGGTTTATCCTTTATTTTCCCCCGAATGCTTCCAACTCTGTAAAACATCGTGGCTGGAGCAAGCCTGCTTAAAAAGTCATCTGGCAGAGTCACATTCACCACCAGCTGAGAAGTTTGGCATAATTGTGAGACTAATCTTATTTTAGAAGCAAGGCAGGCTTAAACAGGCTCATGAGCCTGAACTGCTCCAGACTGCAGGCTAAAGGCTTTGAAATCAGCAATTAGTTCTGACAACATTTCAGTCAATGGTTGGTTCACAGAATCAGTGCTGAGTTGGAGGGGACCCACCAAGGCCATCGATCCAACTGCTGGCCCCAACAGGACACCCCAAGAACCCCACCCTGTGCCTGAGAGCATTGTCTAAACACTTCTTGAACTCAGACACGTTGTGTGGTAAGGCCACATTCATCTCTGATTCTGCCTGCGCCTCTCCAACACAAAAAATGTTTGCCTATAGCAGAACGAAAGAGAAAAGGGGGGCTGCTCCTATAATGTAATCACCACACAACACCTGTGAGGGAACAGGTACCTGCTGACCTGGATCAGCCAGCAGTCATCCTGAGCCTGGTGATTTTTAGAAAGAGAGAAGAAAAATAAAAGCAGCAGCAGCAGCAGCATTAAAAACCTTTTTCCTCTCAGGGCCTCACTTTCCCCTCCCAACCTTTGTCTCTTGTTTCTTTATTTTCCAGAGGCTGCAGGGCAGGGTTTCCCTCCCCCGTGTTTGCCCGGGGCTTAGCACAATGCCTGACCTGTCAGGCTCCCAGTGTGGCCAGGGGACCCTGAGCAGTGGCCCCTGCGTGCACTTCCTTGTCACCAGCCCTGCATCTCTGTCCCCTCTGCTCCGTCACCGCTGGCTGTGTGTCCTGTGCCAGGCTCCTCCAGCCCTGCTCTACATCCCCTTGCTGTCACAAATCCTGTGGCACTTTCTCCAGCCCCCAGCACAGCCCTGTCCCATTTCCGAGAGATAAATACAAGGTGGGTTTGCAGTGGCAGCAGAGGTTCCTTCAGCAGGGCTTTAGCACACACGATTTAGCGCTCCTTTAATCACACAGGAGTTCCCAAACGAGGTGAGGAAAGCTGGAGTCAGAGTCAAATGTTTTCCCTTCCACCTCCTTCCATCCATCAGGATAAACCAGGGAGACCCAGGCAGCACTGCACTACTGCAGCTTTAGCATGGGAAAGCAGGAGATATTCCTGAGGGCAACCCAGAAAAAACAGGCAGCAAAGAAGCCAGGGTTCAGCCCATGCACAAATCTAGAGACAAACTGTGCCATGTCCTGGAATAACAGCAGTAGTGTTCCTTTTGGCAGCAAGTAAAACACAGAGACGCTCTGGGGGGAAGAAGAAAAGCCACACAAAGGTGACCCCACTGATGCCAGATTCTTCCCCTGACTCAGGAGTGGCCTGAGGGACAGTTTGCATGCTCAGCACAAACCCTTCCAAGAAGGGCATGCTTCAGCCTTAAAACCAGTCCAACACCAGTGAGCAGGCTCACCTCAGCTGGACTCAAAACCAACACGGTTTTCCAAGTGTTAGGAGAGATGGGTCAGGCAAACATGCAGACTTAGAGTGCCCTACAATACTAAAACAAGGCATGTACAATTTGGCAGGATTTTAAACATCTCTTTATAACTTCAGCAGGAGAAAAACCCTGTGTTGTTAAGCTTCTCTCTAAATAAGGAGAGCAGGCTTTATTTTGAGCAATAACAGTGAGATTTGAACTGGCAATCAGGCTATAGGCAAAAGACATTCTTAAGCCCATGTTTTAGACTCTGTTTCTAGTTTGTAAGAGTGAAGAGAAAGGACATCAGTGAGGAGTTAAAGCTCTGACCTTCTCTCCAAGCTGTGAGCTGCCAGAAATCACTCTGGGGACTCTGCAGTTCAGTCACTTGATGTGCTTCTTCCTCATCCCATTACAGCATTGCTTATTTTCCCCATAACACCCCTATTTAGGAGTTGCTATGACAATTTGTAGCATTACTTACAGTGCTGTATGCACAGAGAGATCAAGAGACAGCTTTCTTTCCCAACATTTTATTTTCTTAAGCCTTGAATAAGAAAGTTAGGCTCATTACCTGCACTAATAGGTGAGTTAGAGGCTCTAATCCAATCTAAATCTGATGGAATATCCATGGGCACAGACACAGCTCAGAACATAACAGAGCCTACAAGGTGGACCAGTAACAGTAAATAAAAACCCCAGTGCATTCAAGGCTACATTGTCCTCCCCCTGCAGCGTGTGGAAGCAATTTTGAGGGAGTTCACAACTTAATGCAAAGGGACACTGAGCAAATAGGCAAAAATTCCAATAGGGACTTTGGGATCACACAGTTTCTGATTCACAGGCAAGAAGAGGCAGTGCTCTCCTTTGCTTTTAAGGCATAACTTTGAAGTTACTCCTCCTGACTACCCCTGAGCACGTTTGTCTCTAAAGCTGAAGGGCTCCTCTGCTTCACAGCAGCTCTGCCAAGTCTCCCAAAAGGAGCTCTAAACACCAGGCACATCTCACCCTTCAGACTAATCCAGAGGGGCTCACATTTGGGCACCAGTAAAATCTGGAATAACCATTTTAATCCCTTTTTGGGGACGTGTCCTCTAGTTTTTAATCAGGGTGAAGCAGTGCAACATTCAAATCAGATTTCTGCTTGGCCGGTCCAGTGTATGACGTACCCATCCTGTGCCTAAGAAACTTGGGGGTCAGATCCCCAGGGTGTCAGTGACCCTCAACACATCAGCTACAAATTTATCATTTTCACATCCACCTTCTCCTTCAGCACTTCATTTTCCAGTGGGCCCATCCTTTCTTTTGCCCTCACGTACCCAAAACGCCGCTGTTGCAAAAGCCACAATCATCACATAATATCCGTAGTCTTAACATCTGACCCCCAGCAACCGCGCCTGCAATCATCCCTGTGCTTATCTGATAAACTAATGCTTTATGGAAGCAATTATGTCCTATCTGCAGTGCCCCATGGTAACATCCTCCAGCCCCCTCCTCTCCTCCCTCTACCAGCCATTCCCAATATAAAAAGAAACTGGATATTAGCTGGCTCAGCAGGAGGAGCCACTTGACATTCTTCAATCAGAGGAGGCAGAGAAGAGATTATTATAAATCGGTCGCTTCTCGTGCGGAGTCTCCCTGCAGTAACCTGCACGGGAAAGGCTCCAGCCCCAGCATCCCTAGGGCTCATAAATTAGCTGGATAGCTCTGGGGACACCCCACAGGGCTGGGCTTCCTCAGGGGTTGACAAGCTCTGCACTGTCCGTGAGAAATCATACAAAGTACGTAGGACACCGCGCCGTTTCCTCCCCCTCCCGCGCTGGAAGACCCGCGTGCCTCACATCCTTCCGTGTCCTGGCTGCAGCTCGTGCTGGCCTTGCTTGGCCCCATCTCCTCCCTTCTGCCGGGTTTATTCTGTTTATCTCCTGCACCTGGGTTAATTGCTGCAATTGACTGATACGGGTGGTGAAGTGGGATGTAAATGAAGTAGGAAAAAAGGGAAGGGGAAAGACCTGGGTGGGCTGCAGAAGCATTAGGAAAAGCAAGGCCAGCTGCATCCTGCAGAAAGCCAGGTCAGCTGAAGTGTATAATACACCCTTTAAAACGTTAATGGTGCAAATTCAATAGCAGGGTTTGGGTTTGTTGGTGTTTTTGCTGGCTGCAGGGGGGAGTCCCACAGCTCTGTCACCACCCAGGGCATCCCACGCTCCTGGAACTCGAGGGCTGGAGTTTGTCCTGTCCCACCCCACACGTCCCTCTTGCAGCACAAGCCTTGGGTCACTCTGACCTCCAAGACTGGGAATGATAAGATCAGCTCACAGAGCTCCAGCATTTATTGTCATGCACAAACAATGCTAACATCTGTCCAGCTTTCAGGTCAGGATAAATAAACCAACACTCCCTCAATGCAAGGTCTGCTCTCAAAGCTCATCTAACAAAGGCAGTTCTCATTTTGCTGTTCTGATCCCTCTTTGAGAAGCTCTAGGATCAGCAACTTGGTTCAGCAAGGATGGGTCTAGATTGCACCACTGAGGGCGATGGCCTTCATTCTTAGGATTAAGGAGCAAGTCAGCTGTCCCTGTTTCCATAGCCACTGTTTTCCCCTCAGCAGGACAATGTGAATGAACTGGTTTTCTCCCAGCACAACCAAGTCTCAGTGCAGAAGGAATTTCCTTGCTCTGTTCCTACAGAGGCATTTTCAAAGATGTAGGATTTTTTAACACTTATCATTGTCAAGAGTCTCCATCTGGCAAAGGAGAACAGGACCTAAAAGTGTCTTCACTGCCACAGATGTTATTAACACCTTTCCATGACAGACCTGCTGTTTGAGCCTTTCTCTGAAAAAAAACCTCATGGCTTGTTTCTTGCTCCTTTAGGCTCATCCCCCAGGATATTCTGATCTACTTTTCCCGTGTAAAGCCACTGACAGCCAGTCCATGCTCACCTCAGAACTCCACCTATTTCTACCAAAACTACCAAGTGAGCAGCATTACTGCTCCTGGAAATGGAGATGGCCTGGGGTGACAGCTTCCATGCCACATAATCCCACAGCCACCAGACCAGACATTTAGCAATTCATTGGAGTGTAACAGTTGCTACCATAGAAATAAATCAAATTATTTTCCTTACCTCACATTTGAATTAGGGCCCACAGTTCCACTCCAGCATTGGCACCAACCCCACCCTTACCCTGAAGTTAACTCCAAGCAACCACTTCAGAAAGGCAGAACAGCTTTAGAAACATGATTTGGTCCTCATCCCAAAAATGCAGAGCCTCAAATAGTCCTTCTCCTATTAAAAGGCATTGGAGGGAGACACCTTTTCAATTAAACTATCTTCTCAATTATCACAGCTGAATAAAACTCCTAGCACTTTTGGGGGTTGTAACTTCAAACACTTGGAGGATGCTTCAAGCCTTTTCGAATGAAGCTGGAAAGCTTTAAAATTTTAAGCTTGTTTTAATAAAACAAACCCAGAAACTTCTGCTAATGGTTTTCAAAATACTTTGTAGTTAAAACCCTCCTTATAAATGTAATGGCTGACACTTCCAGGCTTGCTCTGTGAGAAATCCACACCCAGAGAGCCCTGGCGTCGCCATGTGCTCACTCTTGCTTTCATGTCAGGCTGACACAAAATTCTCCTCTTTCCAACCAGCACTTACATCAAGATATGGGCAGATACCCAGAGAGAGCTGGACACCATGCTCCAGAGAGAGAAAGAGGAATTCCTCCAGCCGCAGGAGGACCGTGAGAAAGTGATGAAGATGTTGGCCACTGCCTACGTCCAATACCTGGACATCTTCCGGAAGCTGGAGGAGGCCCATGACCACCTCATCCACCAGCAGAAGCGGGCGGCGGTTCGGCAGGCGCTGGACGGGGTCATGGGCCGCATCCTGGAGATCAAGAGAGAGATGGTGGCCCTGGAGAACTCCGAGTGCCACTCCATGGCTGACATCCTGATGGAGCTGCAGCGTGTCCCGGTAGGGCTACCTCCACTGGGAGCTGATTCATGGGAAAGATGGGTTCTGGTTGTAGGTGTTTTATTTTAACCCAGCCTGCTGCCTGTCTGGGGTCACCAGGAAACTTACAAGTTTTTCACACCCCACACAAGTGAACTTTCATGCAGAGGGCAGGGAAAGGGTGACACCTGGTCTGAGGGTGATCACAAATAATTTCAGGGTTCTGGGACACTTAGTGAGGGATTCTGGGGCACAAGTTATTTTCTTGTGACACTTCCAATCAAAAGCAGCGATATTGAAAGAAGCAGATGGCTCCCCAGCTGGTGGCACCACCATAATTTTGAGGGTTTTGACAATGGAGTGGTCTGTGCAGTGCCAGGAGTTCTGGCATCAGATGGCACCCACGTTTGGGTCCCACAAGAGAGGGGAGTCTTTGCCTGGGAGCAGGGAGGTGGCACCAGATGACCCTTTGTGGTCCCTTTCAATTTGACCCATTCCATGATTCCATATTACAACATGAATTTGTATTCATAGAATCCCAGAATGGTTTGGGGTGAAAAGGACCTCAAAGCCCATCCAGTGCCATGCCCTGCCATGGGCAGGGACACCTTCCACTATCCCAGGTTGCTCCAAGCCCCATCCAGCCTGGCCTTGGACACCTCCAGGGATCCAGGGGCAGCCCCAGCTGCTCTGGGCACCCTGTGCCAGGGCCTGCCCACCCTCCCAGGGAGGAATTTTTTCCCAATATCCCATCTAAACCTACTCTCTGTCAGTAGTAACTTCACAGCTTTGCTGTTAAGTGTCAGGAGCTTGACTCTGCCAGATTTTAATGTGGGGTGAGATAGAAAATGGGCCACTGATAAGTAAAGTGGAGTCCACTGCAGCCTGCCCTTCGTGGCACGGTGAAATCAGCACCGTGAAAATGACAATGAGGCCAAGTGTGGAAGCTGTGCTTTCAAAGCTGCAGGAAAAATGAGCTGGCAAAGAGGGTTACTTCTCTCGCAGACAGCTCCATCTATTGTCGCATTCAGGTACCGCTGCTTTGCTAAAACCAGATTAAATTCCTGCTTTTAGGATGGCAGCTACGAGATAAATCGCCCGGTATCATTATCGCATTACTCTGAGATCTGCATAGTGTTCCTGTTTGCACATCTGCAAATTTAGGAGAGGATTTGCCAGGGATTTCCACAGCCCTTTACCTTCAATATTAAGCACTGTTTTAAACTATTTTAAACACATCTCCAGGGAAAGCAATCCTTCAAATCCTATTTTGAAATCCTTAGCACTGCTGTTTTCATGACTCAGCAGTAAATCCATCTGCAGCAAAAAGTTGGCAAGTCTGAGGAGTCATGCCTGACATCTCCCCAAAAACAAGCATAAATTCAAATTCCTGCACCACACCTTAATTTTAAGAGGGCATAACATACCTACCTACCACAAAAGAAATCAATCACTGAGGAGATTTCAGGTTTTTTCAAAGAAAACATTTTCCATACTAGATAAGAATATGGATTTATGGGGTGTTCTTTTTAATAAAATATTAAAATATTCTTGGTAACAGAACAAAATTATTAGACAAATAACTCCTGTTTCTCAAAGGATCCGTCCAGAAGGGATATCTCCAGTCATTCCTTTCCCTTTATTATGAGAGCAAAAATCCTGCAGGATGGAAGGCAGAGGACACAACATTTTATATCTTATGTGATGATGTTGCCTGTTTTGTACTGTGTCACTGCAAAGCCAAGCTTTCCTATTTCTCCAGTTGTGTACCTCGTGTTTTTGTGCAGTTGCCTTCCAGCATCCAGTCACTCCATTTCCTGGGGTAATTGTGAAGGTATTTGGATCCATAAATCCCATGTGGAGCTGGGAGTGGCTAAAAAGCCACAAATTTGACTTAAGGTTAAACATCCCAAGCCTGACTTTTCAGTGCTGGGCCCCAAAAAGAGACCATGAAGAGAAGCAGGCTCCCCACCCCTTCCAGCCGTGGCATTGGGGCTTTGATCTCCTTTTTCCAGTCAGTAAAAGTCACAATCCAGAATCACTTGGAATTAAAAGGCCAGGTGAGGCATCAGAGATACTCCTACACTGACTCTGCTCCCTGGCAGCCTAGAAATCCTCTCATCCTCCAGGAGGGTGTCCAGACAAACCCTGGATTTCTTATACCTCCAGATTTTAATCCAGCCAGAGTGATTTGCATTCAGAGTACAGCATATAATAATTTCCATCAAATGCCAGGGGTTTTTGGAAGGTACAAACAAGGAGCTTAGCAAGACAAATATTTAGAAACTTTATCAGACCAGACCTCTGCACTGATAAAATCATCAGGGATAAGCACAGCCCAACTTGGAAGCTTTCTTGTGGTGTCATGGTGGGGATGTCCCTCAGTGTGCATCTGAGGGAGTGGGGAATGAAATTGGGAGAAATGTAAATCAGTTACATCTTTTTAATTACAGAAATTAGTAAAGACAGGCACTCCTGGTAATGTCTGATTTTAAGAAGTGTCTGAGATACCACAGTCACAGGCAGACAATTTGTCTACAGCTCAAAATAGCTTTAAAAAACTCTAGAATCATGCTTTGGTTCCTTATAATGGTAAAAAAAAATGGCAGGAGAACAGATCTATTTTTCATGTTGATTAAAACAAGAAGGGGGATGATCACACAACCAAAGGTATTCAGTCTGGTGGAAATCATGTTTAAATTTCTAGCAACCCTGCCAGATATTTTAGCAATTTGATAATATAATTGAGCCATTATAAGAAGAAAGATTTCTGGGCTCACATGCTTCACAAACTGGGTTGATTTATTTGTTTTTGTTGAATTAGGTCTAAAGTAATTGAAAAATAACAGCAGCTGTTACAAAGGTCAAATTCCCCAATACTCAAAAAAATATTCAACAACCTCTGTCCTTATTTTATTGCTTTGTAGAAGTGTTCAATTAATCAGTAATGTGATTTAAATACAGTCCTAAAAGCATCTTCTGACTTTCTTCCTCCAGGAAGACATAGAAATACCCATCCCCAAGTATTTCATTAAAGAAAACCTGGGAATCCTGCAGGACAGGGAGAAATACCTGCAGGAGATTTTGCTGAATGCTGGTTTGCTAGAACAGGTAATGTACCCCATACCTACAATATTGTGTTTGCTTTGTTTAGTTCACAGCCACATGTGTCCGAACAGGAGACACTGAAGTGAGAAGTGCTTTTACAGCAGTGAGGAAGTAAAAGTGTGTTTACAGATAAGGCACAAGCAGAAAGAAACCTTAGATTTCCCTGTCAAACAACATCCAGTCACATCTCAAGGCTGGGTAAGACTGGAATGATTCTACTCTGCTTTCTGTGTTTGAGTGTCAGAAAGAGCAGCACTTTGTCCAAGTCAGTGCTTTATTTGTCTGACTAACCCTCATCATGTAATTAGTCCTCCTGATGCCTTGTGAAGGCTGACCTAGAACAGAAACTAGACAGAGTTAAAAAATAAAGCAGGGATTTATTAAAAGGATTTTCTCAATGGACACACCTTGGGCAGCACAGGATCCCAGGCAGGGTTGCACCCAAGATGAACCAAAATGGTCCCAAAATGGACAACAGGTCACAGGGTCTCTCACTTATATGAGTTCTGCTCCATATACATATTGGAGTTTAATTGTCTAATTACACTTTTAGTCCATGAAGTCCCATCCTTCTTGTTTTTCTCTCTTCAGTCCACGTTGTTTATGCTGTTGAGCCTGAGATTTGGATCATTTGTCCTTGTTCCCCAGCTGGAGAAGAGCTGTTTTGTCTCCCTGCTCTGTGCAGAGGGCTCACCATCCTCTAATGTGAAGGCCAGACCCACACACTAAAGCAGCACAGAATGTGAAAAATATAAAAGTTAAACCTGAGGCATCACTACTGAAACCAAGCTGTCCTGGCCCAGGATTCCTCACTGAAGCAGGCAGAACTCAGAGTTCAGGTCAGCACAACTGTTGGCATTCACTTGTTTATAACCTCTGAACAATGAGTGCCGTTTCCCCCGTGCAGCTACGGAGCTGCAGCTGCTGGGAGGAGCAGAAAACTGAGTTTTGGCAGAGCAAAAGTCATTACAGACAAGTACACGAGTGCTGCAGTGAAGGCTGCTCTGGGTTTGATATATTTTTGACCTTTTGGGAGTGGCATGTTGACCCCTGAAGTAAACAACTGTGCCTACATGCCTGGACAACTTGGATTCATGGATGTTGTAGCCATAAGAGACGGTGCTGATGGTCCACTTAGTCACACTGTGCCTTGAACTCTCCAGCAGTGATTGTGCCTGTTGATCCCACAAAATAACAGAGGGAAAGTCCCCAGGGATGGAAACAGCCCCAGGCAGACTGCAGAGACAGAGCACAGGCTTCGCTGCTGGAGATCTTGCTGGGCAGCTGCAGAGCTCCCCTGTTTGAGTTCTCTGCTCTCCTGATCTTGCTCTGGGGAGATCCTGTTTCAGCACAGTTTATCCTGGAACCTTTTTGCTTCCTAGAGTTCTGCTCTTGCCCCTCTCCAGCGTGGCATCCATTAGGGATGAGGTTGCCTGGTGAGCAGCCAGCTCAGCCAGAGCACCAGGCTCTGGCAGGGTCCAGCTGTGCCTTGCCAGGCCCTACAGGGAGCCAGGGGATTCAATAAACAGCAATAAAATCACCTCACCCCGTGCAAATCCAGTGTCCTGTGCTGCACTCCCAGCTCACTCACCACTGGGATTGCTGCAGGGCTGTCAGCACTTCTGCACCTCGTCCTCTGAGGAAATCCTGGCTGCTGTGTAACCAACTGGAGCTCTCCAGTGTCCGTGGCACTGCTGTTAGGAGCACTCCAACATAAATCAAAACAAGTTGGAGTTCATCTCAGGAATCTGCTCTGCACATGGTTTATGTGATTCTGTTCAGGAAATCTATTCTGTGTAATTGTGTCCTAGAAAGCCCTGCTGAAATGAGGTGCCATGCAATATAAATATAATAATTAAGTATGAGCTGCCTCCAGCTGGGAGACGAACATCAAGAAAGGACACTAATTCAGCTTTTCCATAGGGAGCATGAGGGTTCTTGGGAGTGAGAAGGGGGAGTCCCTTCTGTTCTGATCCATTTTTCCCCTCTGACTCAGAACAACCCCACCTTCCATTTTCATCTAAAGAACTGCAATCCAAGCAGCACCTCCTTTCAGAAAAGGAAAGGAAAGCATTCCACAGCCTAAGAAATTCTCCTTTTAGAGGGACAAAGCCCCATGGTTGTGTCTTTCTGCTCAAATGGATCAAGTTCAGCAGGACTGCATGAGCCACTGTGGCTTCCCAGCAAAGCAGCTTTTCCACCTCACATATCAACAGGAGTGTCTGATCTTTGTTGATATTATTTTCTAACTGAGGCAGGCAATTTACAAAACATAACTTTCCTTTCTTGATTCCCTTTTTTGGCTGTGCTGTTGAAGGAACCTGTCACAGCCATGACACTTGAGGAGGGCATTAGAGTGATCCAGGTGGCAGAACGGGCTCGCCAGGGCCGCGCTCGAGCAGCGTTCATGAGGAAAATTTACTTTGAAGAGAAAAGGCAAAGTAAAAAAGAGGAGCAAGAGACGGGTAAAAGTCCAGATGATGCTGCCACTTGCATTCAAAAGGTGAGTTTCTTGTGTAGCAGCGATTCTGGCAAAGCCAAATGACAATGTTTTGGTCAGGAGAGCAGCTGTAGGCAGAAACACAGCTCACACGATGGGAAGCTTTCTGAAATGATCCTTCTTAGGGTGTCCAGTAAGGTGAAATACATAATTTAAACCACTTCAAAAAACGAGGCAGGACCCCAGATGTAAGATCAATGGAACCAGTCCTGCACTGGCAATGCAGGATGACTTTGTAACTTACACGTTGTTTTTCCATTCTGATTTTTATGACCTCAGTTGCTCTTTCTGGCCTCCCCTTGGAACTCAGTGCATCTCTGAATTCATGCCTTTTTCTGTGATCTCCAGGGGAAGAGTTCATTCCATATCTAGAAAAAAGGACAGAGGGAGGTCAGTGCTAAATTCCACAAAGAGTTCTTGCACATGAATAATTCAGACAATTCAGCCTCATGAAAGCAGGAGCTCAGCCTAAATCTTACGTCTGAACTTCGTGAAGGAGTGACAGTTTTTAGAAGCCACCCAGAGCAGCACGAGGGGATAACAAACCTTAAAATTTGTTTAAAAAAAAAGAATAGCAGATGGCAACCTGTTAAAAAGCAATAGTTTCAATGGTATATTGTGCCTTTCCTTCCTCTATTTGTTTTTTCCTGTGTCTGCCCCAGAAAAGGAAGCTGTACCAAGGCCCATTTATCTCATCAGAGTTTTGTTTACAATCCAGGTCTGGCGTGGGCACAGCCAGCGCAAGAAAACAGAGAGGCTGAGAGAGGAGGAAATGATATTTCTGGGCATGGTAAGTGGGGCTGTGCCTCCAGAACACAAAATGCCACACTCTGTTTGTTCTTCAGGCTTTTATCATTCAGCCCAAGAGAAGAAATTCATTTCTACGATTCCTCCTCTTTTAAAAGGAGTCTCCAAGGAATACAGAACTCAGCTGAAATGATAAATGGCACAGGAGTAGCACAATTTGTCTTCTGCTGAATGGGTTTGTGCTGTCCATACATTCTCCAATGTGTGTGGCAGATGTGGAAACTGCCTGTGGAGAATTTGCCCTGGTTCCAGGGAATTTGACCTAGGCATGATCAGCAAGGAAATTTTATTAATCAGCTTTGCAGTCTGATTTCAAGAGTGGTGAGCTGCCTTATGTCTGGAGTAGAATTCATGAAGGTTGGAAAAGCCCTCTAAAATCATCAAGTCCAAGCATTAACCCAGCACTGGCAAGCCCACCCCTAACCCATGTCCCCAAGTGCCACATCCCCACATTTTTTGAACACTTCCAGGGATGGTGACTCTACTACTTAACTGGGCAGCCTGTTCCAATGCTTGACAGCCCTTACAGTGGGCTAAAATAATTAATTTTTCCTAATGTCCAATTAAACTAAAGAAGCAAAATCCTCTTCTCCCACCCCTTTGCAAGCCACTGCCTGTGTATGTCAAGAGCAGGGAAGAGAAACCTAAGAACTGGCATGTTAATCCATCAATATTTCTCTAAGTCCATATAAAAATAATCAAAATCTTCCTCACATCACACTGCAGAGGCACAGGGAAGTGAACAGCTGCCCATGGTCACTTAAATTGCACAGGGGTGAAAGAAAAAAATCATAGCATCCTTTCCACAAGGAATCCGTGACTTCCACCCCCTTCCTTGCAACAAACACCCCAAAAATAGGATAAATTCTTTACTGTTGACCTTTTTTTTGCCCCCCTCCAAGTTTTTGGAGGCATTAACAGGTGTCAGACCTCACCCAAGTCCAGCTGCAGCAGGATTAAGGTTTTTTTTTGATTTAGAGATGGGGCAACTGAGAGGTAGTTAAAAACTTCTATTTTCTTTTTAGTTTTATGTGAAGGGTGAGATAATACAGATGTTATAATTTGTTATTATTATTAGAGCTAATTATTTCTTAATTATAATACCTTATAAGTGTATTATTCTGTCAAATTTAAAAAATTTTCTACAAATCCATTTTTCACATAGCACAGCCGTTGTACCAAGCTCTAGTAAAGTTCTAGTAAAGCATCACATCACAGAAACATCCAGCACTGCTCTGCATTTGTTAAGTTAATTTATGCTTCCATGTTCTACAGTTCTTGAGTGATTAATTTATAAACTAATAATTTAATTTAAAACATGCTTTCTGCTTTTTTTCAGGCAGTTTGGGGGATTTTCTTGCCCAGCAATGGAATTGCCCTTAGCTGCTTTATAGGGTTCTGAAAACTAATTGTGCCTAGAGAATCTCACATCAGTTAAAAATTCCATTAATACCTTACCTTTAGGAAGGAAAATGTACATTTACCTAAGCTTTGCTATGTTAAATAGAGGTAACACCTTAGGAATTACTGCCTTGAGTATCTGCTGGTCTCCAAAAGCTAAACAGAACCTTGGGTGCCAATTCTGCCTCTGTTTAAGACAAAATTCCCAAAGATTTTAATTGGTGCAGATCCAAACACTTGGGAAGTACTGAAAACGAGTTAGAAAGGGCACCTTTTGCAGAACAAGGGATTGTTTCCTGTCAAATCCCATGACATTTCTGTCAAGTCCTTAGGAAGGAAATCTAAATCTGGCATCAGTTATCTGAGGGTTCACAGCCAAGCCCTCGTTTCATGGTGGCCAGTGTGGGAGGAACTGGAAACTAGCATGTGAACAGCCTGGTTTATGGGGAGCATAATGTAATCTATATCATCAGAGGGATGAAGGGAATTAAAACCAAACACATGGAGTGCATTCAGTTCCTGACCTCCATTTAAAAGCAAGAGAATTGATGTTTTCTCCTCTGCACTCTGACTCATTGCTCTTTATCAAGTTTATAATCAAAGCCTGTGAGGAAAAAAATGATAACTCTAAATAAAATTTTTAAAATCCTGTTCTTCTTTCCAGGGTTTTTGTATTCCCTTTTCCTTTCCATGCTGCATTCCCTTCCCTGGTCTCCAAAGGAAGCAAACATTGGTTCCCACTGATAGATAGGCAGGGAGCTCCAAAGGTCAAGTCCCTTTGATGTATGATCACGTCAGCCCTCTAAAAAATGACCACAGATCTTCATGTGTAAATATGTTGAATTTGCTTTTCTAATGCTGCACGACTTAGATAAATTAGAAGACCCAACCATCCATTACTCCAAGTCCATCCCAAAGGAGACTCGACTTTTGTTGCAATAAATATAAATTCTATTATAATTAGGGCTTTTTAAAAAAAAAAGTCTGTGTTGCTTTCAGACAAAGACTGCTTTGCACAAAGAGCTGATCCATCTGAAGTTCTGTGTAAAAGATTTCTGGGACAATTCAATTGTGTTGGCCTAAAAAATAGGAAAATAAGTGTCAAACCCAAGAATTGTCCAGTCTTTTGCTTAATTCAGTGTTATTTTCTTTACTCTCTGCTTGCTTCACAAAAAATTTATGTATCTTTTCTGGAACTCGATTCTGTTTCATCTTTTGCTTGATGACAGAGAACTAGCCTATGGTGGAGAGATTTTTCTTGGCTCAAAAATAAAGCCTCGTTATTATTATTATTATTTATTAAAGCCTAATTGCAGAAACAGCATGATCCCCTCAGCAGTCATTCTCCAAAGCCCCGATAAATCACACTTTGCAGTCCCAGTTTAATTTGTGAAGAGAAGCAAGCCTCCTAAGAGCACATATATCTTGATAACTGTATCCTGAGCTGCTTCCTGATCTTCCTCACATTCCTGCCACAGGGCTGTTTACTGCCAGCTCCAGCATGACCACCAGAACCACTGCTCCAGGCACGGGGTTGTGTTTAAACCACACTGACGTGGCAAGAAAACACATTGAGCTGTCTGAAAACACAGACGTGCTGTCTGGGCAAACCTGCCTTTCCTTGCTCTGTTTTACCCTCCCAGCTCAATTTAACACACCAGGGTTTTAAACTGCCCTGTTTTTCTGGCATTTATGGATTCCCTGTCAGTAAAAGCCCTGTTCAGAGGTTATGATTGTTGAATTTTTCTGCAGAGCTCAGTGCAGCTGGCTGTGTGACCTGGCTTTTGGCAACGGCTGTGTCTCAGGGTCGTGCAGAACAGCCCGAGCCTGGTCCTGGATCCCCTCTCAGCACTCTCCTGCAGGAAGTTATACTTTTAATCTCAGAGCACAGGCTACTGGAAAGAGGAAAGGCTGGGTTTTACCTAAAACATTAGGATAAACAGTTTGCCATCAGACTGATTAATGGGAGGGTAGGAGGATGTTAGGGACTGGAGGAACAGTTGGTTTAAAGCAATTAAGTGGGAAGAACACAAAGCCAGTGAGTGCCCAGGTGGCCAAGGGCACAAGCCCATGCTATGTCCAGGTCTACCTTCTTCTTCTCAAAATATTGTGGAATTCAGACCAAAAACTTCCAGTCAATGCTTTGGTAAATCCTCTGTTGTGTCTGGAGGAGTTAAAGTTTGCCACGTGCCTTATTTTGTCAGGATGTTCCAATGTTGGCAAGTAAAAGTTGTTATTGGACCTCCTGAGAATTCTGTTGTTTCTGCACCACCCAGAGTAAGTCAACTACCTTCCCCAAACCTGCTGAGCAGGAATTAGAGGAGTCCAGGAAAAAAGCAATACAAGACGAAAGAAAGACAAGTCCCTCCACCTGCAGTGCTCTGATACATTTTTCCCCCAAGCCTCTTCTCCCTGGGCTGACTCAGAGCAGCCTTCCTTCCATTTTCACCAGAAGAGCTGCAATCCCAGCAGCACATCCAGAAACCCATCCCTTCTGAAAAGTAAACATTCCATAGCTTAAGGAATTCTCCTTTTAGTGGGACAAAGCCTCGTAGCTCTTTTTGTCTTTTTTCTCAAATGGATGCAGTTCAACAGGATGCATGTGCCATGTGGAGCCACTCTGGTTCTCGCTGGAGCATCAGGTTTTCCTCACCACACCAGATCCAGCTTCTCGTAAATGTCCTCAGAGAAACACATCTCCCAGGATGTCAGACTTCTAACACATTGCAGGACAAGCCAAACTCCAGTTTAGGGTCTCACAGCTGTGAATTTACATTTACAGAGCTCTATCCTGAAGTTCCAGCTCTTCCCAAAGAGTTGGAGGTGCAACACCTGCTGCTCTGTGATGCTCGTACGTGGTATTTGCAACATTCTTCCTTCCTCAATATCCAAGGCCTGCCTGGATGGGGCTTGGAGCACCCTGGGCTAGAGGAAGGTGTCCCTGCCCTGGCAGGGGATGAAACAAGATGAGCTTTAAGATCCCTTTCAACCCAAACCATTCCATGATCCTTTTCACATGAAAGGATATGTGTGGTGTTAAATAAAAAGCTGTTTTCTCCTTCTTACCTCTTTTAAACATACCCAAATTTAGGCATGTTGTCTTGGTTAACGCTTTATTTATATCTGAGAAAACAGTCTGCCAAACATTCCTCCTTCTCTGAATTCCTGATAAATATAATTCATTTCATCCAGTCAGAAAAAAAAATTAGCATTTCCCAGAATAGCTTTCTGTGTAAACATTATAGACTGTGGCTAAATAAATATTATACAGGATTTAACAAACTACAAACTCTATCAAGTGAAATTTAAAATATTTCATCAGCTCTTGAAAGTGGGCAGCTACAGCAGTGGTGCAGATCAGGCCTGGTTTTGCCAAGTTTAAGATTAAAATGACTTTTGCTTGCCTGGATGTCAGCACAAAGTCCTCTGTTATTTCACATCTCAGCAGTGATAACTAATCTGTCCTGTTTTCAATAGAAATTTTAAGCGTGCTTATTTTTGAAACAGAAAGACTCTGGGAAGAAAGAATGCTAAATAATTCGCCTTTCATTGGCTGCAGTTATACTAACAATGAAATCAGTG